GAGATAATCCAACCCAACACTGCCTTTCTTCATTTTCGGTTACGTCCCTTTCACCTTCGTTCCTGCATCATAATTTTCATTAAATCAGTTCGAGTTATAATGGTATTAGATTTTTTTTCCCTATTTTTTTTTTCCTCACTCAGCATCTTTTGTGATATGAGAATTAATATTGATCAGGAATGTGACTTATTAATTTGTGTGGATTTTTGTTTGTTTGAAGTGGCTTTTTAGAATTAGAACAGCTGACTATGATTTTTGTTTCAAGATGTTTTTTGTTTTGTTGTAAATGTAAAGAGTTGAGTGCGCTCCTTCGTGAGGTCTAAGGTGGGCTGTTCCACAGTAACTGACGCGACATTTGGACTTTACTTTCTTACAATGATAAAACTGCAATTCAATATCGATTAATTTATTTCAACTTTAAATGATCGGAACATTTCAATATTAAAAATTGTGTCAAATGCAATTCATTTGAATAAAAAGTAAGGCCTACTTTATGCAAATTTTACAGGGTGGTTAGTTTCGGTAAGTGAAGGGACAGAAAAAATAGCTCATTTCTCGTCAGTTACAACAGAATAGTCCAGGTGAAAATTGACTGGAGTTGTGGAAGGTTGTCTTGGAAAATATCTTCGTACAGTGGTCCTGGCCAAGATTCCACATATGCTTGTCTTTACAGTTTTTCTATTTTCTCTTCTTTCTACTTAGGGAGATGCTTGTAATGGCTTATTCCTTATGTTGTTTGAGGTATGCTTGAGTTTTAGTTTGGGCTAAGTTTGTGTAACAGCATCGACAAATTCCTCAGCTCGCCAGAGATGCCTGCAATAATTATGTGCTTGGACACCACCCTTCTGTAGTCACCAAGAAAAAAGTCGTGGTCGCTGGTCAGATTTTGTATTGTTGAGGTACAAATTTCATTTGTACACGGGTGTGTTTGCATGATTGCTTGTAGGGATTGTGAAGCAAAAAGTTTGGAAGCAGCTCATGACATGTACCTATTTTTTGTTAACTAGACATTCTCAATATGTGGCATGCACTGTCCAGGCTGTTTGGTACCATTTTACTAGAAGTCAATATTTTATACAATAGGCAGAAAGTTAAATATTCTAAGTCGCCCAGTTTTCTTTTATTGGGGATGAAATACTATTTTTAGTCACCATCATTTTTATACTCATTTCCTCATTTTTCAATTGTCAGAAATAGTCCTCACCTAAATCTTTGTCCTTGAGACATTGAGTGATGTATGTGAAATCTTAGACTTTCCCTTTCATTATGCCCATGTCAGTTCAGACTGAAGAGCTACAGAACATCCTTACTCTGCTGTGGATCTTGTTTTAACTTTTCATAGAATATAATCCCTACCCTCTACTGTCTCAAAAGTGCTGACTATGCATAGATATAAATGCTTCTTATTTTTGTTTTGGTCATTGTTTCAAACTTTATTTATTTAGAAATGGCATAGATATAGACGGCTGAACCTTAATTTTAACTTTTTTAAAATGATTTTTTCGAATGCCATTACCATTTTTCATTTTCTAAGGAAGGCTAGCAGAAGTAAGCTACCTGTATTATTTTCAGTTATGGAAGCGAATATAAGTTTTGTTCAACCTATGGCAATGATGTTATGTACATTTTTCTATGCTGATATGTTATCCTTAGCTGAAAAGCTAAACCAAAGTGGGAGAAACTTGTTATGAAGTGTGTGCGTTGTTGCAGTCTCTTTTTTCATGTTGTAAAAGACTTGTTTGCTGTTGCAGTGATATGTGCGTAGTGATGCATATTATATCTGTACGTTATGATATATGCATTATCTGTACATTATGACAACATGTACTTCTGTATGTTATGATATGTCTTTAAGTCATTAATAAATTAAGTCATGCATTTGGGCCCAACATTCTGGACCAAGTTTCAGCCCAGGTCCATCCCTGTACAGAAAGGGGTATTTGTTTGTTTTTGTAAAGTGTTTTACGGCGCTCGCAACTGCATAAGGTCATATGAGCGCGCGGGACACACCTTATATTTTCAGAAAGGGGTATGAACTGGATTGGATTTGTAGGCTACTTATAACAACGACAAAAAAGTTGGTGGTAAAAATATTTCACCCATCCAAGAGTTATTATAAATTCCTCTTTTTTTTTTTTTTTATAATTGTTTTAATTTGCTGAAATTGTTCTTCTTCAGACTGTGTAGATGTGATGTGCTACTTTATTCTACAACTCCTAATACAGAAGCACAGAAGCTCATGCTTTTGTAATGTTTAGTTTTGATAAGGAGACATCATTACAGCAAACCATCATGTTGGGTCATTCAAATTCATCAACTCTTTAGTAGAGGTTACACCAACTTGTGGGTGAAGTTTTGATTGGTAAAGAAAAATTCTTATTGTACATTACTTACTGTTCATCAAGTCAATCCTCTTTTATCAAATGCTACAAGAGATTGGGCCTTATATTCATAAAAGGGAAACAGAATTTTTGAAGAGCCCAGGAATTACATGTAATATTGCGATGAAGTCACTTATTTATTGATATTAAGTTTATTGCTTTTCAACTATTCCGTGAGACATATTAGTAGGTGACACACGTATTAACTTTCAAATAATAAATCTTACATACTAATGGCAGAAATATTATATATACTGCAAATTGACCGAAGAACTTAAAAATTTTATTCACTCATGAAAGTGAAACTTAAACAAAGAAGCAATTGCACTGAACAAAGATTGTTGAAATTTATTGGAACATCTATCCTGAGAATTCTTACTTTAGACTAAGGACACAACATAGTGTAGATATAATTGATATACAATTCAAATTTATGTGGTGTTGAAAAATTAGATTAGATGTATTAATTCCTGTCATCTATTTTTATGGAAAGCATCAGTTTTAATTGTAATACTTTGTGGACTGATAGGAATCATCTGTGCTTTGGGCGTTTAAAAATTTGGCTGTTGGGATTTTCAGTAATTTGCTTTCACTAGAATGAAACTGTGATGGAACTTTGTTCACTGTGTTTGAGTCCTTATCCTTATTGAGTATAATGATGTGTACATCTACATGTGACCACACACCCTGATGTATATATTGACACATATATCGATATATCTGCATGCGGCGATTATTTAAGCAGTTTCATAGTATTATATTATATCTCTATTTCTGTCAACTAGATTATGAAATAATTATTTCAAAGAGTATATGAATATACTCTTCCTGCTGGTAACAAGTATTCTATTATATCTCTATTTCTGTCAACTAGATTATGAAATAATTATTTCAAAGAGTATATGAATATACTCTTCCTGCTGGTAACAACAACTTTGAGTCCTGTTTCGTGACATTGTGAGAGAGAAAAGACCAATTTAATTTTGTCCCCGTTTTTCAATAAAGACTGAACTGTTTGAAAAAGTTACTGGCTCGATTTGTCAGTTAAGAATCCAGACCTTTAGCCTGCATAGCAAATGAGGAAGTCTTTCAAAGTACACGTATCAGACTTCCCTCACTTTCTGTGTACATGCATTAAAAAAATAGATCATATTCTTTGGAAAACAGCAGTTGTTCTCTACGATGTTTCATTGTTTTAAGTCGGCCGGGTGAAGGATTCAGGAAGCAGTTAGGATATGAAACAGCCAGGTGGGTTTTACATTCTACCACATGTTCGTGGTCCTATTGAAAAAAAGTCAGCTAGATATCTAAATGATGATTTATTTTTAAAGCAGATTGAGACTGTCAAAATTGCCATAATCATCAAAATGAGAGGTATTTTTGTGGTGCACTTTTCTTTGTCCAGATAACACTTTGCGGTCACTTGGCGAGCTTACTGCGCTGCTGAAAATTGTCTGTTCTGGGCACCTGGCGTAGTTCTGCACCAGGCCCGAGAAGTCCGTTGCAGTCACTGTCCTGGCTGGGTGACCAGATAGGGTATTTTGTACTGCTAGCTTTGTGAGTGTGTTAAGGTAATACAAGATAACAGTATTTTCTGTCTAATTTGAACAAGAAATCTGCCTGTTGTCTGAAGTAATAGAATATGGAAAAGATTCAGATTTTTTTAACGGCCTCTCATATGTATTGTGAAGAAAGATGCTTAGAGTGTGGGTCACTTGCTTCTGCAATACCCTCACATACAGTGACTTGCTCAAACACTATCTAGATCTTTCACATAAAACTTCAACTTGCTAATTCTTCTTCCAGTCATGAAAGTTGAATGAATGTGAATGAATAATATGTTCTAAATGTTCGTTGCCTTCAAACAAAACGTGTAAAAATCTACATGATGCATTCAGTATTCTTTCTCTCTGCAAAACTTTTTCATTGTTGATAGCCAGAATCAGCCTGATAGTGACCTCTGTACAAAAAACATGTTTGCTTTTGTCATATGAGGACTCTGGTAGTACCGCAGCATGGGAGGAATAAAAAACAGACAATGCTGAGAACATTTGCATCTCGTTTTTCTTTATATGTGACTGCTTCGTGTTTCATAAAGGTTGTTGTTGCAGGAAGTCAAATCAAAAGATTGGATGAAGAATATTATGTTTCGCCATATATAGAGATGTATGGACTACTCAGATGTTTTGTGCTTCATTCCACTAATTTTTAAATGCTTTGTTATGATTTGAGAGACCGTCTCTGCTCGTGGTTTGTATTGTGTTTGTGTGTGTGTGTGTGTGTGTGTGTGTGTGTGCATGCCTGTGTGTGTGTATGTGTGTGTGTGTGAGTGTGTGTGTGTGTGTGTGTGTGTGTGATGACCTCATCATCAGCCTTTGTCACACCCTCTGTCAGTGTATAGTCATCGGCTATAGCCTCCATTTCTTTCCATCTGTATCCCATCTCCTTTAGATCCGAATCTTAAGTCCCTCTTCTACGTCCTTGTTGGCTTTTCTTTCTTTCTCTTTCCTTGTGGATTCCATTTTATTATGTTCACACTTTTGCTTTGTTTTCAGAGTTGCTCGGTTGAACACTCTAGATATTATTGACACTTAAAACATCAAACTTTGGTACCTTTTGGTACTCAGATGAGCGTGTGTTTGTTTTTAAATATTGCAGAATGGTTTCTACACTTGTATTTGTATTACATTTCTTTCTTCAAAATTATTTTGTTTGATATTTTGAAGATTTCTCTCTGTAGCCTCCTATGCAAAAACTGATTCTTAGTCATTTCACATGGTGAATATAACTTAATGTGCCATCAAACATCTATCCATCTATCTCATTTTTGGCTTCAAGATCAATGACAACCTTATTGCCACTTGTGGTGTATTTCTACAGCTACTGGAGATCCTTGTGGTTTGAGGCTTTTTGAATGAAGAAAATGATTCACAGCATAAAATTGTACGAAGAAAATGTTCTACGAAGTGCATCGTGAGAAGCAAGCAGACAAATTAGCTGGTCAGTTATGTGTATAATGATGACATTAAGTGATGCTAAGCCTGGGTAATTAATTTAGATTGTGTCCTCAGATTCTGCCTCAAGTTTTTGAAATACGGCAATAAAACGGTCACCAAATAACTGTGTATATATATATATATATAGTACCGTAGAACAAACAGGAAATTTATTTTCCTCGCCTTTTTTGGAAAAGGTGGGGGGTTTTTTCACCTTGATTAAACATTTTTTTCAACCCAGTGGCATGATATAATTCAAAATTACTATCTGTTCTTTGATTACAATGTTTTTAAGTTGTGTGTTTTGCATACGTCTGCTAGTGTGAATGTTTGCCTTTTTAATGACATCTGTTAAGAAATGGTATTGCATTTGGGAATATATGTGTTTCTATGTTTATATTCATCAACATATTCGTGTGATTGTTTGCTTGTGTGCATTAATGTGTGTGCATGTAATCTCTTTTACATGATTGTACGTACATGTGTATCCGTGGGCATGCATAAATTTGAATTTCTATTTTTATGTTATTATGCGGGTGGGAACGTCTGTGTCTGTTTGCGTGTTCTACGTACAGCCCATTTTTTCCAGTGAAAATTGTGATACATTGCATTGTAACGAGTGACTTTTCTTTTCCCCTGTGAGTTTTGTCTCAGGAAGAAAGACTGCTGGAAGCTGACAATGACAAATTGTGTCTCAACGCGGTGGATTCAGGCGCTCATCTATTTTTAGGCATGTGAAGTTATTGGTACCATCTAAAACATTATTCGTTTGCCTTGCTTTCAATGAAAAATACCCGTCTATCTTGAATAGAAGTGGAGATATTTTCGATTGAAGGAAGTGAAGTCGCCTGATTTTAGTGGTGACCTCTCCAAGAAAATGGCAGCCAAAGTTTGGTATCTCCAATAGCTACAGAGTCCTTGAATACTGAAAAATGACATTTAAAATTAACCTTTTACAGTAATATTCACATGGAAATTGTTTTTATTTGGACATAAAAGGGTTTAAGCCAAAAAAAAATTAAAATTCGAAAAAGATTACCATACATGTATTGGGGATTAAAATGTCTAGTTCTCCAATTTCGTAGGAGCGCCTGATTTCACCACGATGCCTCACAATTGAAGAATCACTTCTGTACAAAAGACACAAAAGACTTTTTTTTACAGACATTGCCGCAGCAGCCAGTTATGTGATTTTTCCACAGTCAATGTATTTGATATGAATTGAAAGCATGTCATATAGACTCTAACCAAGAAATGATCCTTGTACATACATGTAACATGTATATGGAAATTTCTTAGTGACTTTTCTTAATTTGTACCAATACTATTTTGAGCTTGATTTATTTCCACTTGCATGAACGACCTTTGAACTTTTCCAACAGGTACACTCATGAACAGCATCAGACTCTCGGAATCGTTTCTGTCTTCTCTTGGTGGCTAGCCCTATGCCACACCTTGCCTTTCGTTAAACATATATCTATGTATAAACATATATAATCTTTTTCTTTAGTTTAGCAATGTAGCATTCTCAGCAGGATGATATTTGAATTTGACAAACAAAGAGGGAAATCTCTTATTTACCGCCATAAGCAGAAGAACTGCCAAGTGTGTCTTCAGATATAATATGTCAGCAATTATCTCTAAGTAAACTCTGATCTGAAGTTTTATTTGATTTCTCAGTGAAAAGAAATAATGCACCTTTCCTTTACATATTTGTTATGAATTATTTCACTTGGTTATGGAAAAGAGATATTTGCTTTAGAAAACTTGTCTGTCTGGGCAAAAAATTGGTCAAATCTATACAACATTAAGATTCTTGAAAGGCCACCAGAAGTTTTGTCATGTGTTTTTTGGACATTTATCTTTGGCTTGTGATTCAAATTTGCACTTCATGGCTTGATGAGCGTGGAGACTTTTTTTTTCTTAAACAGGAAAAAAAAAATTGATTTTCTTAATTGCTGTGTGTGGGAGATGTTTTTCTTAAGTAATAAAAAAGCTTGATTGTTTTTTTGTGTTTTTTAAAAATAAATTGCTATGTGTGAGAGATCTTTATCATAAATTTGAAATGAACACTTTATTTCCATTTGATGCGTTACATAGAACAATGATGCCATGTATGTGTACCTATATCGCATGCGTTTTACAGTTATTTTTCATGTCCATTTTCTATTATAATTTCATTTTCAGTTTTGGTGAGGGTAGTGTAAAGTATATGAGGAACATCATAAAACATTCATCTAGATTCGGACTGGTCTTCTGGTTGTTATTCCTTTGTACTGTGTTTGTTCTTGTCAATATATCTGTTGAAAAAATTGTAATTATATTATAAATGTTTTATGTCGCCATCAACACAATTTAGGTCATTTATTTGGGGGGAGAAGGAGCAGGGGGGGGGGGTGGGGTTGGAGCTGCTTCTACGTACCCTGCCTCTCAGAGACAGCCATTAAGGCTGATAGGGATACGGCATCCCTGCAGATGATGGAGATACTCGATATAAGCAAAGATAATATACTCTACCGCAGCCTACTATCTTTGATATAAATCCTCTCCTCATGGGAATCGAACTGTGGTCTTCTGCGTTTGACACCGAAGTACCTAACTGCTAAACCACAGACACCATGATGCAGTGCTCGTGCTGCTGACTTGGTCAATTTGTGCTGGAAACACCCCCCCCCCCCTCAACCCCCCCCCAAGACCTGCAGTTTGGTATCTGAGTTCGGTCGAGATAAGAGAAGTCGGATAACTCAATGGACCTTGAAGCAGATGGATAGAGAGCTTTTGGTGGTGAAACTGACGTGATAGGGAAAAAAAACTGACATGGTAGGGGAACAATTTAAGAAGACTTGGTAGGGGGGGAAATTGTTTAAACTGACGAGGAACCTAGTGGAAGGGGGAAAAAATCCAGAAACTGACGTGGTTAAGAAACTCACTTGGTAAGGGAAAAAATTAAGAAACTGACCTGGTAGCGGAAAAAAATTAAGAAACTGACGTGGGAGGGACGTGGTAGGGGAAAGAATAAGTAACGTTGTAGGGGAAAAAATAAGAAGACGTGGTAGGGGGAAAAATTAGAAACTGGCGTGGTAGGGGGGGGGGGGAAATTAAGGAGCAGGCGCTGCCTGAATATTTCCCGTTCGGCCAGATGCTGCTCCCTATTTTTGCTTGACAAGGGTTAAAATATTTTTCTTTTTAAAAGTAAAGTAGTTTTTTTACACCCCCATCGACCTAATTTAGACAATTTAAGAGGCTGGCTTTTAACCCTGCTGTCTATCAGGGCCTACCCAAGCTGAGAAGAATACGACACCCCGGCGGGAAAGACCGAGGTACTCGATGCAAATTCGCGCCCTTTGGGACTCGAACTAATACCTCTTGCGTGCGACATCAAAGTGCCCAACCACTACACCACATATGCAGGTTCGGAAGGGGTGATATTACAAAATTGTTGTTTTCAGTTTTGCAGATATTCATTAGGTCATTTTAATGACAACGCCTCTAGCAGAGTGTTGCGGAAGGCCAGCCAAGGGCGCCGGCTACATGGCATGGGATCAAATCTGTTTGTAGGTAGATTTTTATTTTCACTATGTTCTTCTTTAATCTTTACTGTTCCTTGTCCTGTCATAAAGTGATCAGTTCAGAGTTCCTCATTTTCACAAAGACTTAAGAGACTTGAAAGAGAAATAAAACTAAAACCGAAATAGATAATTACAAAATCAGCATCTCTCTGAATGACTTTGCTGTCAAAGCTTCTCTCATGTACAGATCTGTCTACTCTGCTGGGACCTCTAAACAAGGCGAAAGTTGCATTTTTTAATTTAAAAAAAAAAAAAAATTTAAGTAAAAAAACCTGGGTATTTTTAAATTTTATTTTGTTTTATATTATTCTATTTTATTCTATTCTGTTTTATTTGATTTGATTTAATATTATTCTATTTTATTTTATTTTATGAAATTTTTTTCCTTGAAAAAAGATTGGGTATTATTTTATTTTATTTTATTTTAATTTATATTATTCTATTTTATTTTATTCTATTTCATTTTATTTTATTTATTTTATTGTATTTTGTTTTATTTCATTTTATTTTATTTTTAAATATTTTTAAAAATGTTTATATTATTTCATTTTATTCTTTTTTAATTTATTTAATTTCTTTTTATTTTATTCCGTATTCTTTCGCAAGGTGATGTTTTTAGATTTCCTGATTTTCATAACGACTTAGGAGACTTGAAAAAGAAGTAAAACCAAAAGGGAAGTAGATCATTACAAAATCAGCATCTCTCTGAATGACTTTGCAGACAAAGCTTCTCTCATGTACAGATCTGCCTACTCTGCTGGGACCTCTAAGCAAGGCGAAAGTTGCATTTTAAAAAAATTAAAAAATTCATACATTTACTTCATTTTTTAAATAAAATTTTTTTTCAGTAAAAAAAAAAAATTCATTTTACTTTATTTTATATTATTCTATTTTATTTTATTCTATTTTATTAGATTCGAAATAATATTATTTATTTTATTCCCTTTTATTCAATTTTGTTTTGTTTTATTTCATTTTATTTTATTTTACAATATTTTTAAAATTTTATATTATTTTATTTTATTCTATCTAATTTTAATTTTTTCTTATTTCATTTTGTTTTATTCCGTGTTCTTTCGCAAGGTGATGTTTTTAGATTTCCTGATTTTCATAAAGACTTAGGAGACTTGAAAAAGAAGTAAAACCAAAATGGAAATAGATCATTACAAAATCATCATCTCTCTGAAAGACTTTTCAGTCACGGCTTCTCTCATGTACAGATCTGCCTACTCTGTTGGGACCTCTAAACAAGGCGAAAGTTGCATTTTTATCTTTAAAAAAAAATTCAAACATTTATTTTATTTTTAAATTTTGAATTTTAAAAAACCCATTTTTTTTCAGTAAAAAAAAACCTGGGTATTTTTAGATTTTATTTTATTTTATATCATTCTATTTTAGTTTATTCTGTTTTATTTAATTTGATATAATATTATTCTATTTAATTTAATTTAATTTTTTTGCGGTTTTATTTCATTTTACTTTATTTTATATTATTCTTTTTTAATTTTATTTTATTCTATTTTATTTAATTTTATTCAATATTATTTATTCTATTTTATTTTATTCTTTTTTTTTTCATTTTATTTTATTTTACAATATTTTTTATATTTTATATCATTTTATTTTATTCTATCTTATCTTAATTTATTTTATTTCATTTTGTTTTATTCCGTGTTCTTTCACAGGTTGATCTTTTCAGATTTCCTGATTTTCATAAAGACTAAGGAGACTTAAAAAAGAAGTAAAACCAAAAAGGAAATAGATCATTTCAAAATCAGCATCTCTCTGAATGACTTTGCTGTCAAAGCTTCTCTCATGTACAGATCTGTCTACTCTGCTGGGACCTCTAAACAAGGCGAAAGTTGCATTTTTACATTTTTAAAAAAAATTATTTTTTTCAGTTAAAAATGGGGATTTTAAAATTTTATTTTGTTTTATATTATTCTATTTTATTTTATTCTGTTTTATTTGATTTTATTTAATATTATTCTATTTGATTTATTTAATGAAATTTTTTTCCTTTTAAAAAGATTGGGTATTATTTTATTTTCTATTTCATTTTATTTTATTTTATATTATTCTATTTTATTTTATTTATTTTATTGTATTTTGTTTTATTTCATTTTCTTTTATTTTTAGATATTTTTAAAAATGTTTATATCATTTCATTTTATTCTTTTTTAATTTATTTAATTTATTTTTATTTTATTCCGTATTCTTTCGCAAGGTGATGTTTTTAGATTTCCTGATTTTCATAAAGACTTAGGAGACTTGAAAAAGAAGTAAAACTAAAATGGAAGTAAATCATTACAAAATCAGCATCTCCATATGACTTTGCAGTGCAGTCAAAGCTTCTCTCATGTACAGATCTGCCTACTTTGCTGGGACCTCTAAACAAGGCGAAAGTTGCATTTTTTTAAAATAATTTAATTCATACATTTACTTCATTTTTTAAATTTAATTTTTTTTTCAATTAAAAAAAGGTACTTTTTCATTTTACTTTATTTTATATTATTCTATTTTATTTGATTCGAAATAATATTATTTATTTTATTTCATTTTATTCAATTTTGTTTTGTTTTATTTCATTTTATTTTATTTTACAAAATTTTTTATATTTTATATTATTTAATTTTATTCTATCTAATTTTATTTTTTTCTTATTTCATTTTGTTTTACTCCGTGTTCTTTCGCAAGGTGATCTTTACAGATTTCCTGATTTTCATCAAGACTAAGGAGACTTGAAAAAGAAGTAAAACCAAGACGGAAATAGATAATTACAAAATTAGCATCTCTGAATGACTTGGTAGTCAAAGCTTCTCTCATGTACAGATCTGTCTACTCTGCTGGGACCTCTAAACAAGGCGAAAGCTGCATTTTTATATTTTAAAAAAAATTCTAAATAATTATTTTACTTTTTTCAGTAAAAAAAAATCTGGGTATTTTTAAATTTTATTATATTTTATATTATTCTATTTTATTTCATTCTGTTTCATTTGATTTGATTTAATATTATTCTATTTTATTTTATTTTATTCTATTTTTTCATTTAAGAAAGATTTGGTATTATTTTATTTTATTTTATTTTAATTTATATTATTCTATCTTATTTTATTATATTTTATTTTGTTTGATTTAATATTATTTTTTTAAATTCTATCTTAAATTATTATTCTGTTGTATTTTGTTTTATTTTATTTTGTTTTATTTTTAAATATTTAAAAAAAATTGATGTTATTTCATTTTATTTTATTCTAATTTATTTGATTTCATGTTATTTTATTCCGCGTCCTATGGCAGGGTGATCTTCTCAGAGTTCCTGATTCTCATAAAGACTAAAGAGCCTAGAAAGAAAAGTAAATCTAAATCCGAAATAAATAAATACAAACGCAGCATCTTCGGAATGACTATACAATCAAAGCTTCACTCATGTACACGTCTGCGTACTTGTCTGGGCCTTTAAAGAAGGAACAGTATTTATGTATTTATTTGTTTATTTATTTATTTATTCTTTTCATTTTAGGCGGGGCGGGGGGGGGGGGGGGGGGGGGGGG